AAATGGTTCTCGATCGAGTTGGTTCTTAGACTTAAGACTTGACCCAATAAAATAAAAATAATATATTTTGAGCTACCATTGTTGTCAATCTATAAATTTATAGTGTAATATAAAATAATATAATTGAATAGAATAATATTAATAATTTTTCACTCTTTTTGTGTTTATTTATAGAATTGTAGTTACAAGCTTGAAGTTTGAGTTAATTGTTGAAGGAGTTTTTTTACTTGTTTTAAGTACTAATCATTTAAGATATCATGTTAAAAAATGTATTAGATCTCTTGAGTAGTAAGGTGTTGTGGTCATGTTAGATAACAAAATTAGTTTATTAAAATAGTGAAAATTTTGTCTCAAGACTTATAAAGATGCATTTATTAGGTGAATCATCAAGCATGATATTCCATGTAGTTATGTTGGATTTGAAGGGTTTTGGGTAGTGAATAAACTCAATAAAGTGTTAAATTCTAATTTTAAATCCAATTATAAAAATACTACAACAGTTCATCACAATAAAATGTTTTTAAGAAAAATCAAAGAATGCTTTAACTATTATTTTGGTACAATATATTTGACTTATGATATATGAACATTTATAACTAAACAAGATTATATGATTGTGATTAGCTGACTATTAATCTATAACTAATATATAATATCAGCTAATAATGGGTTAATATATATGTATCATATTGTTAACCCAATAAATTTGGTATACTTAAGTTGCGACGATTTGATGGCGTTAAATTTAATTAAATTACCATCAAACAAATTTTTTGAAAAATTACGTAGTTGTGATTTCTTTGTTTTATAATTATTTTATTGCACTCTCCAGTATCGGTAAACTTTATTTATATTTTTATATGAGTAATTATATCATATACATTTACATTATCCTTTTTTTTTTCTTCTGTCTTTTATATCTTATTTCTCTATTTATTTTAATACTTTACATATCATATATATTATTTTATTTTTCTTATTATTTTAATGTTTTTCTTCTTCCACACCATATCCAGTCCATGAATGAACACACAAACATATATATATATATATATATATATAAATTAAATACGTTTTGAACGTCAAGAAAGAGGCAATAATATAAAAATAGTGAGTGAGATTCTGTGGTCATCGCTTCGCATTGTTGTGAAGATTTTAAACCAATTGCTGTTGCCATCACAACCAAAAGTGGTGCCAGAAAGTGACACACACCTTCCACCCATCATAACTCTCATATTATATTTCTATAACAACATATTTACAAGTCAAGCCACTTTTACACCTTTATCAACTTTTTATTAGATAAGTATATTAAAGTTTATATCGCATCATTTTTTTTATAAAGTTTAAATTAATTTGAAATTATTTAATACTTTATAATATCCATAAAAATGAATATAATATATTATATATATAAATAATTATATTTAATTATATCTTATGACATAATTTTTATAAATGTGACGTTAATAATTAAAAAAATGAAATTATATTTTAATGGTTAAACTAAAAATTCTAAGATTATTTAAAAGTATATTTATTCCAATGCCGTCGCTCGCGCATTATTTAGGACCCACCGTGGCCTCTTTTTGTCGTCTGTTGTCGGCTACACTTTTTTTCTATTCAAAACTTCTCTCATCTTTTCTTTTGGTATTATCTCTGTCACAATAATGCCATCGCCATGGATTAAGAAAAAACACAATCATGTCACATTTAGCAACATTGTAGCTCATTTTAGGATGCAGAATTATTACTTTTCTTGACCACAAAGAGTAACACATCCCCTGTGTTTTGTAATATATGATTACAGAAATTATTTAAGATATTAGTTAAGAAATAAAAATTTTTAATTTCATCATAATTTTAGTGTATTATTTATGTTTTTTGTTATTAATAATGACTAACTTACAATACAAGAGACCAATATTATATATAAAGACTACAATGAACATTAAACCAAAATTTTATTTGGTGATTTGATAGATTTCACTAATTATGTAATTAAAGATCTGGGATGATCTTGTTAAAATATAATTTCAAATGAAGTTATCTACAGAAGCAGAATGTTAATGAAAAACACCAAAGTAAGAACTTGTGTTTCACGCTCGATAAAAATTAGAACTCCAAAACAATGTCTCAAAAAGATGATTTGTGGTGACAATATAATTTAAAGCAAACGTACAGGAGGCTAGACGTAGGGCAACTTTGATTCTGGAACATTAAATAAATGTATAACATTTACAGCAGCCTACACCATTATGGGTCTATTGTTTTGTTTTCTACAAAGAACAGATTCAGAATTACAGGAGACCACTTGCTAAATTCCAAAACATTCTAACCAGAAATCAAACATTTCTCCACGTTTTAAGTTCTGTTTTTCTTAATTATTAAGAGTTAATCATCCATACATTATCAGTATAAATTTTTTTACACTAACAATAAATTATATTTTTTCAATTATTTTATTTTATTTTTATTTAATTAAATAAATAAATGATATGACACTATTAAAAAATATAATTAGTTATTGATGTAAATAAACTTTACACTGACATTATAACTCAATTATTAATATGCTTTTCACTTAAATTCGATCACATGGCAATACTTGAGCACAGGAAAATTCACACGGTTTTGGTGGTCAGATCACAGATGAAGATCAGATTTATTCCCTCTGAAGGTATCAACTCAAAAGGGTGCTTAAAATTTTATATAGCCAAATTTGAACTTGTCGTTCTAGATTGTGAAATCAATTTTGAAGAATAGCGTCTTGTACGTGTGCATGAATTTAAATCTTAAGTGAAATTTATTTCAATAAACGGTTTTAAAATAATGAAAAAATTCTAACTTACGCATTAATTGTATAAATTAAGAATTAAAAAATAGAAATTTTTATTTTAAAAATATAAAAATTATTTATTACATAAAAGAAATATATTTTCGGACTCTTTAACCTCTTAATTATTATCCCGTAATAAGCTTTGAATAAAGTCTTTAATGTAGTTTTCTTACTATATATAAGAGCATAATGTACCAATTAATTAAATTAAATAGCAGTATATCAAAAGAGATGTTTAATATGAAACAACTTATGTGACGTAATGCTTAATCTTATTGTGAGAGTGTCTAAAATTAAGAAGGGTAGTACATCATTTTTGGAACGAACTCAGATGCATATGTTAAACTATAGATGCAAAAATGACTAACGTAACGTAACGACTAGCGGTTGCCGGTTCGTTTATGCTAAAGTTGTTTATTTGTTTTCTCAATAATTAATAAAATAATTTTAGTTTTTATATATTATTTATTTGATCTAATAATTATTAAAATTACATTATTTTAAATACTTATAGATAAACTATTACTTTAACTTATACAATTTTTTATTTTATATAAGTAATTTTATAATAATAAACAATTTGAATATATAAATTATATTATAATTAAAAAATTTAGTAAATAAATAATTATAAATTGTATTTATATTTTTTTTATAAATAATTTGTATTGAAATGCAATGTTATTTTAACTATTAATAAGTTTTTAAAAATATATTTTAAAAATCAATTTAGAAAAATAAAAATGACAAATTGACAAATATAAGAAATCAAGAAAGATCCCTAAGATCTTTTTCATTCTAAAAAATAGCTAAAATCACTTTATTTGAATAATGATTTCTAAAACGTTTTCATTCAATAGTTATTTTAATTTATATTCATAGAAGATAATAAAAAAAATATATTAATTATGAATAAAAACACAAATTTCCTTTAACCATATGACTCTTGAATTTTAATTTTTAACCGTACAAGCTAGTTATTCAAATTAAAAAAAAAAAATCAATGCTTTCTAACTTTCATTTTTAACTGTACAAGCAAGTTACTAATTAAATTAAAAAAAAATTAAGAAAACAAATCAATACTACTTCGCAATAAATTGTGCGTCTATGTATATTAAAATAAATTAAGTGAAATATGTATTTTTAGTCAACCCTTAGAATTCCTAATTTGATTTTTTATTTATTTATTTATTTACCATCATGCTAGGACTCCACCAACGACCCAAATGATACGATAGCTTCAATTTATATATAATAGACTAGGTAAACGTATTACGTTGAATGATGATAATTTCTTACTTTAAAGAGTGTATACACTATTCATAAGAAGAGAAATTAACAAAATAAAAAATAATTAATGTAATAAAAAGGAACACACACATATATATATATATATATATATATATAAAGTGAATATAAAAATAGAATATAAATAAGGATATATTATGTTAGTTTATTCATCAAGTAATAAGGACATTCTTTTTTCCAGGAAAACACAGGGATTATATAATTGCAGTTAAATATAAAATTAAAGTAGATCTATAATTAATAAATGATAAATTACATCACGTGTTTGGCTCTTCTAGCTAGGTTGTTATGGATTTATGGCCATCATATTGCTTGGTGGTTAATCTAAGTTTGCAAATTATGGGCAGGCCAGAGAAGTGTCTAGTTAATCACCATGAAAGCATTTGAAATTTCTCTCTGGCAGAAATATATATAACATAGATGATAGAAAAATGAAGACGATGAATCACGATAGAAGAGAACATGAATTTGTTTGATTGGTTTATAAGCAAACCCTAGTATGTATATAACTGCTGAAAACATGGGGAAAGTTTATTAAATGCAGCAAAAGCATCTTTGATAATTAAAGAAGGGCATGAATCAAAAGCATTCAATACATTAATCTCTTTGGTGAACCTAAAAAATCACACATAAGGAAAGGTCCTTGATTAGAGAAAAAGAAGGTTTGACAATTGAAGCATAGTGAAGAGTCTATATCGTTTAAAAAGGAAAAAATCACATGTGTCCACACTACATACTCATTATTCCACCACGTAAAACAAATTAAAGCAGACAAAAAGAAATCAAATTAGGAATTAAAAAAGCATTTGTAGAGTCCTAAAGGCTAAAGCATCATTAGTGAAGAGGAATTGCAAGTATAGTCAAAACTGACACACATTTCTTCTCAAACTTTCTTTTTTTCTTTGCATCATTCATAAAGTAATAAGCCAGCAGATAAAGCCACCCCACAAACGAACTAAAACATTCTTTCTTGCACTAAGGAGCAGCTTCAGACAAACAAGGTGAATTCCCTCTCTCTCTCTCTCATATCGTCTTCGTCGCTTTTCTCTGTCTTTTCTTCTCTGAAATATTCATGGCTACGATGGTCAATTTCTCTTGTCTTTTTTTTGAAGCACATATTCCGAGCTGTTTATTCCGAGGTTTCGTTTGTTTAAAAGCTGATACATACAAATATCAAGTTTCACTAGATTTAAGAGTTTGTTTGTATCTTGTTTTAATTTTAAAGCTATACCAAGGAGATCATGTTCATGGCATAGTTGCCAAGTCCACCCTATAATATTGATCTCCTATCTGATCTTTTTCTAACAAAAAAAACGTTATGATCAGTTTCTAAACACAGAAAGCACTGCTACTGCTTTAACTTTTTCTCTTCTTGCTCGTGTGATAATTATTGTCTAATATATAGCTGGGAAAAATGGACTATTAATTTGTTACTATTAACGATTCTTTAAGTTTACACCTTTCTCTCCCATTCTTTTACAGTTTTTTTCTCTCGACATAATCGTGTGTGTAAGAAGCTAACCTGACTACTACCTTATTTTTAACATGTTTTTGTTAATTATCAATTTAGAGTGTGTTTGTAAATAAGTTTAAAATAATTTTTGAGTATTTTGTTATTAAAAATCAAAAGTTTTTATGGTAAAAAAATTCTGAAAATCTCTGTTAAGATATAGGAGTAGCTTCAAGTCTGCCTGTTACAATTTTTACTGCCCATTCCTAATAACTAATTTGATCTCAAGGTACCAGTTACACCAAAAGATGAATCTGTTTATGTAATAAAATTACCAAATCACTCCTGGAATCTTTTTATGTCTGTAAAAAAATATAATTAGTAAAGAAACAATTTATATAATAATTATAAAATCCGTGATTAAAATTTAATGAACTAAAATTGGTAAGAAAAAAATAGTTTTCCGTCACTGAGTTATTTAGCCATTAATTCATTAAATTTTTAGAATTATATGGAGAATACGTAACTAGAGCCTCTTTTGGAGTATGTTAGGAGGTTGGAGCAATGGAAGAGCCAGTGTCAGAGAAGAAAGCAAAACCACAAGAGCAATTGAATTGTCCAAGGTGCAGTTCAACCAACACAAAGTTCTGTTACTACAACAACTACAGCCTGACACAGCCCAGGTACTTCTGCAAGACTTGTAGAAGGTATTGGACAGAAGGAGGGTCTCTCAGGAATGTCCCCGTTGGAGGTGGCTCTAGGAAGAACAAGAAGGTTATTGTATCATCAAAGGTTCCTGATTTGAATCCACCATCACTTGTTTCTTCCCAAAACCCTAAAATGCAAGGTGTCCATGATCTTAACTTGGCTTTTCCTGCGGCTATGGACAAGTACCATGGCATGTCTATGTCTCCATATGTTGAGGTGCCAAAACTTGAAATTGGTGACAGTACCACTCACCACCATAGTTCTTCTTCTTCTTCTCTTTCAGCACTTGAGCTACTACAGTCTGGCATGGCTTCTAGGGGTTTGAGTCCTTATGCTGCAAATTCCATGATGTCAGGCTCAGATTCACTTTACCAACCTGGCTACCCCATGCATGAAATAAAACCAAACCTTACCTTTTCAGTTGATGGGTTTGGAAATAGGTCATATGGGGTTCAAGAGAATGGCAGTGGAAGGCTTTTGTTCCCTTTTGGAGACATCAAGCAGCTTTCTGCAGGTGTTGAAGTGGAACACAATAAAGAACAAGGAAATAATACAACTGGATATTGGACTGGAATCATTGGTGAAGGGTCGTCATGGTAAGGAAATTAAGAAAAAAATCTCAACAAGACATCAACCTGCATTGTTTTCTTTATCTTCACTATTTCTATTTATCCTTTCTCACATGGATCAATCGTTATGATCTCTCTCTGTTTGAAGTTGTTCCGATCACTAACAATAGGATAAGTATGGTCACTCTGTTTTGTATACACATTTCAATTCGAGCAATGTGAGGATTTGTTTTTGTATTTAGAGAGATAGATAGAAGAAAAGGTGAATATAGGGCCTGCTTTTATCCAAGTCATGCAATAGCCTGTATTCCTCAATTCTTCTGTCACAAGTAGATATATATCACCTTTACTCATATATGCATGCTTTCAAAGATTTGGTCCAAATGACTTTTCATGATTAAGGAAAGACTCAGATATTCAAGTTTGTAACCATACTTTTATAATCACATATATTTTTCATTCATAAAACTTAAGGTTGAGAGTTTATTTAAAATGATAATAAGTATTTCTATCTGTGTTTCTGCAAAACATTAGTGGGTTGTCAGCTTTGTTGTCAAAATGATGACATAAGAGTTGTTCCAACTTGATGGAATTATTCACATCAAAAGAAAAATGAAAGGGAGTATTTTAGCTGATTTGGACGTCACACGCTCTTGTAATGCTATGCAAGCTTGCTTTGTAAATTATTTGTGAAGCTAGCGCATGCATTTGAACAGCAAGCTAGGGACAATATATATTTAACAAATTGGCCAAATTAATGTTGAAAACTGGATTACCTGCTCCAACCAAACACACTAATTAACCTAATCCAACGGACACCCACTTGCCAATGCTTACTTTAGTTGGAAGATTCACAACACATCCTCAATTCCACGACCGATGATGTCCCGTATCCTCCATTACATTTAATTATAGTATGTGCATCTTTCCTCTTGCAACAAAAAATAAAGATTTCTTAATAAAGTATTTTGTAGGTGGGACCCTCAAACATTCCTCTGGTCAAGTGGAAATCATTTCATTCATTCATCCAGGTCAATGCCTTCACATGTCGACGATAATTAACTATTATTATTTTTTTCCATGTTCAGTTATGATTTTCACTTCCAGTAAGTTCTATTGGCAGACAAAACACCTTTTTGTAAAAGTATGTGTCTCTCTTCTCCTATCATACTTCCTTACCGATTTCTCCTTTTTTGGGTGTACGAATATCGTTGAAAATCAAAATGTTCTTTTTCTTTCCACATTGTTGCATTTTTTTTATAAAAAAAAAAATAATTTATTTCACATTTTCATACAATTTAATCAATTAAACTAACTCAAAAAGGACTCATTAACATATTTTTTAAACTGATATAATTTGTTGCAAATATCAATGTATTATTCCCTAAAACCAATAATTGATTTTTTTTTTCAAAAAAAAAATGATTTAATTATATTATTTTTTATAAAAAAAAATAATGTTACGACTACACTGGATTCTTAACTTAATGATTTAATTTTCTAATCTCAAAAATAAAATTCTAACTTCTTACTACCACATGCTAACATCTTTGTTTGGTAGTTTTGTCGTATGCTATTATATGAAGCTATAATTCATCATGTTCAATGCACTAATTATACTTTATTATAAAGAGAACTCAATTTATGAAACTCAGTTTAAAATATCGTTTCTAAACAGAAATTAATTTTTAATATAATTTCTTTTAAATACTAGTTACTTTGTATTTTGGTATAGAAGATATTTTAGAATAGTTTAGCATTTGTCCAATTAAGTCTAGAATACTTAAAAGAGTAACATGCGTCGTTTTAATCCTATAACTAGGTTATACATGTTTACGTTCGCATATCAGCATCCTGAATTTTTTAAAGATAAGTTCTAAAAATCTCTGAGTGATCCTTTCTACCTCTTTGTAAGTTGACCATTTGTCCGTCAAAACTAACCCATTGAAATAATTATCTTTACACGAGTGAGACAAGAAAATTTGGACCATACAACTGCATATGAAGGATCAAGATTTAATGTCTTGTGTTTGCTTTAAAAAGTTACTGTGTGACTTTTTAAAAATTCCACATTACTCATGAATTTTAATTTGGATAATTTATGATAAGATTTAATGGCCAACATTTATTCATCTCACTTTTACATTAAAAAAGTTTTCTAACTATACATCTTTCACGTTCTCTTTTATTTACAAATTAGAATAGTTATTTTGAAAAAAAACCACCTTTAAGAACTATTATTTAATGAAAGTATTTTTTTTTTGGAATTTTTATCAAACACATGACTACATCATATAATTAAAGTTTAATTTTATTCTTTTTAAATATACCTTTTAATTTTAATTTCAAATTTAATTTGATTTAATAACTAGTTCATAATTTTTTCGACTATCTCAACTCACTTTTCATTTTTTATTTATATATTTGGCCGTCTTAATCATTTATCTCTTTCAATATATTTTTATGCTTATTTTTAAATCAAATTTTAATATTTTTAAAACAAATTATAGATATATTTTTTACTTTTATTTTTAAATTAAATATTATTTTTAAAATAAATTATCAGATAGTTAAAAAATTATTACAATAAAAATTATTTATTATAAATCTAAAATATAATTTATATATTAAAATGCTTATTTATTATAAATTTAGTCATATAAAAATAAACATTCATCCCTTAGTGATTACTATTCACCTTGGTATGACTGTATGAGATTATTTATTTTTTTTCTTTTTAATCTATGTCATCAATTATATAAAGATTAAAAGATAAAATTTACATAATTATAAAGATTAAATATATATATATATATATATATATATATATAATTTTACACTAAAATAAAATATTTTTAATTATAAAAATTATATGATAAAGTTCATGAAACTATAAAAGTTAAAAGAAAATATTTTATTTTGTCTATTTTACATTATTTATTGCATTTTAAATTTCTCTTTTACTTCTCCCTTTCTCTTTCTTCTTTATACAAATTGTTTACATGTATCGTTTCTATTTTCTTTTTCAAGGATAGCCAGTGAATTTATCTCCCTTTCAGTATGGAATTTGATGGATATCACATCGTTATCCAAGAAAAAGATTTTTTTTTTTTTTTTTTTAAGGAAGACGAGCGAGAGGCATGGTGTCGGTGCCAGAGGCTGCGTCGAAATTCTGAGATTTTTGCAAATGCTGTTGTTTGAAATTTTTTTACATCAGATTTCATTACCTACTAACATTATTTTATTAATAATGAACGAAACAAATTTGGAATTGTGATGCGGTGTATATTCCTATCAAACATACTGGATTATATAAATTAAATAACATCAGCTTCAACACAAAACTGTGTTGCCACAGTATTAAAAATAATTAAACAAGTCATTAATCCAAATTCAGGAAGCAATGAGTTCAAGTATTCTGGGTAGAAAAAAGTTGTAATTAGAAAGAAAATAAAAAATTCTACAAAAAAGTGACCAAATAATTTTTCTAACAAAAATTAGTTTTCAACAAAATCAGTAAATACTTCATATTAATTATATAATTAAAAAATAATCTTTATTTAGACAAACACTTTTAATTAAGTGGAAAAGCATAATTAAAAGATAGCATAAATATAATTCATTTTTCTATGCTGCACAACAAGATGGTTCAATCACTATTCTGCATTATGGGCAATCAGAAGAAGATTTGTCTCAAAGGAATACATCAGATTATAGGTATTAGTAACTACCGTAATATATAGTATTATTGCCTATTTCGTCCCATGCACGACTTGAATAACAACACACCAATTACGGCAAGGAATATGAGAAAGAAACCAGTTAAGCCTCACAGAAGATGTGACATGAAGGACACATATGCTATGAAATAGTGTATCAACTAACAGTGACACATTCGAAAGTTTTTATGATAAGGATCAAGAGAAATGCTAAATCATCTGTCATTAATCTGTCTGTTTGAAGTTTCTTGTTCCTCCTCAGGACAAGTCCATCCAAGGTTCACAGCCAAGTCTTCCACTGCCACCTTGATCACATCACTTCTCACACCAATGTCAGTTGCATATCTGCTCATGCAGTACATCCCTGCTGTTACAGTAGCAACACCAACAGGACTTGGCATTAACAACTTGAGGGGAGAAGAAAGCATTGCAGCTAATGGAGCACCAATAATGGAAGAAGCTTGACCACTTCTTCCAACCCCTTGCTTGTCTACTATCAAAAGACCAGTTTTGCAGTACAAGGCAAAATCCTCACAATTGTTCTGAAAAACATCATAATTACCAAAGCCGTTTTGAAGAAGATACATTGCTCGATGGATAACAGACTCTGGTGGGTCAGATGATGCAGTGGTGCATGTGCCACCCCTTATTTTGGTGAGAAAAACAGATGGTGTAACCTCGTACTCAAAACAGTAGAGAGAACCATTTCGGAGGAAGCAGTCCAAGCAAGAAAGAACCACACCACTGTTTGGCTGTCTGAATCCACAATCAGGAAATGTTGGACATGGGTTTGATGTTGGATCCTCAGAGTTTGACGATGCCTCCGTGATTGACTTTAAGTTTCTTTCAGGTCTGAAATGTACAACCTTGCTTCCCCCAACAAAAATGCCTGCATGGTATAACTTACATTTAAGTTTGATTACATATACAAGACTTTCTAAAGCCATGGTGAATTTAGTTAGATGTGATAGTCCTTGACCATATCAACTTGAATAAAAGGCAAACATCGCAGACAAAGTTGATGCTATATACGAAACAATGTCATCTTACAACAGGTTCTGACAATCTGGAGAGAAAATCAAAGGAATTTGACATCAAACTAACTAAATCAAACAATGGCAATGTAGATGTATAAACTTTTGCATCTTCCTCGTGGTTGTTTTAAGGATTAGAAAGTAGCAGGGAGGTCTTAGGAATTAAAGCTATGGAAAGCTAAAGTATAATTGACATGCAGCATAAACTGAGACAGTGTAGAAGAAGTATGTCATAAATGATGCAAAAACCGAATGATGAATTACCCACAAGGAGACTTAGCTGTTATCACTTATATCAGTAAGGAAGCACAGGACAGCTAGTACGACCGTCAAAAAAAAATAGATGGGTGATATAATTGGTATGGCTCATGATATCGTGATTGGTTCATAAGTGTTAAAAAAAATATGATGATTTTTGTACATCTTCGTGACAAACTAAATTCCCTAGTTATTTGGCTGCATCATCTTGCTTGAAAACTTAAAATGAGTGGTATAACACTGACAAAAGGGTCCAACTATTGAAGGCATAGATAGAAGCAGTTAAACAGACAAAATACTTGGGCCTGCTTTGATAAATTTTTTCAAAAGTACTTGTAAGAGAAAAAAATTAGAAGGAAAAATAAAATAATTTTCTCCATAAATTAAAACTAGTTTATCCATAAGTTAATAAGTTTTTGGAGAAGTTAATATAAGAGAGTTTTTACATATTAACTTATACATTAAGTAATTTTAGTTTATGGAGAAAGTAATTTCATGTTATTCTTATTTTGTTTTGTAATAAGTACTTCTAGAGAAATTTATCTACACAAATCCTAAGAATCTTTGTAAAACAATCCTTGCATCTGTCAGAGAAGAGAAAGAAGATATTCCTTTATACCCTGCTAACTGACATTATAAAAAGAAAATAAAAGAGGGAGGCCATAATGATGGGCAGGGCAACCCACCAACAACGTTAAGAAACTGAGCAAAAGAAAGCTAATTAATCACATATACTTCTAATGCCATCATAGTACAATCAACAGTCTTCTGGTGCAGAGTCACAACTTCCCAAACAAAACTTCAATTGTCCAAAACCACTACATGAATTGTATATTAGCATTGATACTTTCATGACAGAGGCACGGCATTTGTCCCATGACAAAGTTCTCTTCCAAAGGAACTAAATTAGATTAGTTAAAGTGAAATCGGAATGATACTTGCTTCAGACTCATCAATCAGTCCATAAGAACATATGCAAATGATAATTTCATAATTCGATGTTGACTTTCAAACAATAAATCCCGATTCAAATCGAGTGGTATGATGAAAGCTTAGTTTTCTGGAGAGCTTTGCTTCCTCAGTCAACAAAGAAAAATAGAACAAAATTCTTTTATTACCCTACATTCTATACCTCTGCTTACAATGCACAGATAAAAAAACATAACCAGTTGAATATTTTTGCGGAAAATTACAACTACGTACAGAGAATAGGTAAGGTTTTATCAACTGAATCCAACAAAGATAAATTCATAATAAATTTGTTTACAATTTAATATGCCCAATCCCATACATATTCTGCCCCAAAATCCCAAATTACAGACCACGTTGAAAATTACATAAATTATTGCAACGCCTCCTAAAAATAAAGCGTAGGACAGATTTCATATATCTGGACAATTAATGAGTCCAAATCCACACACTAGCAGTAGCAGGTAAAGGAGCCGAAATCAAACGATAGGGACAACAAGAAGAGTAGGAGACCCATCAATCCAAAGTCAAAAAAGAACATTTTTTTCTTAGGAATCACGAAAACCCAAATTGAATTGACAAAGCAAACAAACGCATTCCCCGTGGCAGGGGAGGGGTCGGGGGCCCTTGGAAAACAACATTATTACAATTTTGCAAGCACAACATTATCGACCCACTTCGTAATTCCGCAAACACATCACAATTTTTTTTTTCTAAAACAAAAAAAAATATAGAATGCAGGAGGCGATGCAAAAAACCCAATTGCTGAAAGTTAGATCACAGAAGTCACATTGCAAATAAATGGATAAAATCCAGAATTAAAAAGAAAAGGAGAGAGAGAGAGAGAGAGAGAGAGAGAGAGAATGACCATGGTGAGAATAGGTGAAAACAGCTCTGTAAGTGTAGATGTGATCGCCAGGTTTGATATCGTGTTTCTCCACTTTGTTAGAAAGCAGACCCATTTTTCACTCTCACTCGCCACTGTCACCGTAACACCGCATAGTATAGTAGACCAGACCAGACCAGAAAGAAAGAGTGCCAATTTTCTTATGTTAGACACGGTCCCACACACATCATAACTATTCATCACCAACAATATTATTCTATTATTCTACTCTAAAACAAACATAATAGCGTGTGAAATTCACCTTCTAATTTCTCAACTTCTTTCACCCAATGCAAATGCTAAGCTTTGATTCCGTGGCAATGATCATGATCAATGATCATGGTGGATGAATGAATGGATCCCTTTTGCTAGGGTTTTATTTTTCAGTTGACCCAGGATGGACAATGATGTCTTCGTCTTCTCTTGGTAACGTGCTACATAAAAAACCCAGAGGTAGATAGATAACTAAATTATAATATAAGCTAATAATAACAAACAAACAAACAAAAAATTATATATATCGAGGGTGTACCTTACACTATTACACTATAATAAATTACATTGATATTACGTCAATGTACACGATGTAATGTATACTAGGATCGCAATTGGTGTTAATATGATGTATTTCAAACAATTAGAATTTAGAAGTAAAGCAGGAATATTACGTGAATTTCTAAGAAATTGCTAGAAGTATCGGCATAATTTCGCGTAGATTTATATATAATATGAATTCTCGATTTAATATTAAATTTACAAGTCATCTCTCTACATGAAGTGCACTGTTATAATTTCTACATAAATCATTTAATTCAAATGATATTTTTTAAAATGAAATTAAATTTTATAAAATTATTAAATAAAACTGCCCTAGGTAAACTATTTTTATTTTTATTTTATTGAATTTGACATAGGTTGGACCCAAAAGTAACACGGCGGGGATTAGTGGTTAATTTCTGCGGCATGAAACTTTGGATTCTTTGCCACATGAACAAGTCATACCCTTTCATCCTTTATCGCACCCTTCTTTTTCACGCCGTCGCTTTTGTAAAGAAATAATGAACTAAAATATTAATAAAGGGGGAAAGATGGAAAATGATTATTCCAAATCACGTTCTCTGTCACTTCTTGTGATTAGTGGTTAATTTATCTCAATTCTCAAGTGTGATTTTTCTATGTATTTTCTAACTTTAATCGCCTGAAATCATTTCTCTTACTTTTACGGTTCATCTCATCAAAGACCGAGCACGATTTCTTGATAGTTTTCATCATTCCAATTATGGTGAAAATGGGTTGCAGTAGTCACTAACCATCACAGCGCCATTGATGATAAACAGATCTAAAAAAATTGTTTGATTATTTGGTCCATAATTTAGTATTTTGTTCCTAATATTGAATGTTTGATTTTCTTATCTAATAAAAGAGCAGTTAAAAAATCTCAGGATACATTTCAAAAATTTATTATGTGAAAATTCAGTAAAGAAGACATATTTCTTCGAAAAGTCATCATATTAATCACCCTTATTTCATTCCAGATTTGGTCCCCGTATATAGGCAAAAGTGAAGTATGAACTACGAAGTAACATAAAAATTCGTACTTCAATTTTCTTTAGGCAACTTCTCCCCACTATAGAAGAAAGAACCAAATTCCTATTTCCGTGCATTCCATTTCTCGTCCTGTTGCATCATTACTGAAATAGTATTTAAAATTATGAACATGATATACATAATTAATTCCTTAAAAATAACACGACTTATTCAGTTAGAAAGAATACATTAAGAGATATAATCACTCTCAAGATAATGGACCCTAATTCAATATATAGGGTAGAATATACACACAAAGAATGGCAAAAATAACACTAATGGTATTTGGTATTCATGTCACTTTATAGGAATATCTGCCAATCATATATTTGCACTTCAAAATGTTTCTGATCCTCTAGCCTCTGTCTGAGTTCCTTGGCACGCTGTGCATCTTTGGCAAGTAACAGAGCAAAGCCGCCACCTCCAGCTCCAACCAGCTTGTAACCACAGCAGTAGAGAGAGGCAAAAGAAAACAGCTTATCAACAGATTCGTTGCTGCAGTAAGGGTCTAGTTCCTGATGTAATCTCCAAGCTTCCAGCATGATCTCCCCAAGTTCATCTATGTCACAGTTCATCAAAGCTTCTCTCCCAATCTTTGCCAGTTCAACAAGCCGCTTGATACTCGATACAAGAAAATTATCCCGCCGAAGATATCTAATGACCACCTTCTGCAGTACCTTATGTGCAAGTCGAACCTACAAAACAGTTCATTGTTCAATCCAAATCATAGTTAATTATGAAAGTAGTTGAATTAAGTGAAGTGCAGCACTGGCTATAAAATTACAAAACCAAATAGAATTTGCATTGCATAAAAGGAAACAACAAAACAAATAATATATCTTAAGAAGATAAATATCTTTAATGGAGAATTCTCCGAATAGGAAAACAAAATGTATATATATATAAACAAACTGATACTTACTTGACCAGTAAATACCACAAGAAGCCGTTGCTGCAACTCCGAAATCAACTGAGGTGAAGCCAACAAAGGGACAACTTGAAGCCGCAATGGAATTCCAGGAAAGCTTGAAGTACATTTAATCCCTGGGTATAAACCCCCTATTTGGTCTTGCCAGCCACCTCCTGTACCCATAAGTTGTTCCAACACTAAAACAAGTCTAGCAACATTCTCAGTGCTGTCATCCCCATCAATTATCTGGAGAAGGCCTTTCACTACTGCAGCAGCTAAGATACTAGATGTACCCAATCCACTGCCGCGAGGGACATTGGCCCATGTTTTGATGTGCATGCCCATATCTAGAAGAATGTTATCATGAATAATTCCAGTCACAAGTAATGCAGATTTGACCAGCCGAAATGGATCAGCTCCATCAAATGGTGCACAAATAGATGTGTAATCTTCAACAAATAACTGGTTCTCTGCATCATCAGTGATTAATATTCCTTCTGTCTTAGTAGTCTCTATGATGGTGCCAATTGGAGGAGAACCTTCCAAGCTTATTGCCATATTCAAAACACATCCAGCACGTTCAATGCTCCATGGAGGGGTATCACTCCACCCCCCCACAAAATCTACACGAACTGGTAATTCTACTTTTGCCCTTCTAGGATGGAAAGGCTGACGAATGCAGCCATTGTGTTGGTTATTCTGGAACTCCTGACAGGAAAGACTACCAGGAGACTCTGATAAATGTTCTACAGAAAAGGACAGGTTTCAGCTTTAGAAAAATCGTTTTTCTAATTTATTGCTTGAATTAACAAGTAATTGTCTTGTTATGCATAATTTCATATACAGGGGTAGAGAATATGATATTATAATTAATGAAAAAGCTCACTCAATGCCAGGAACCAAGAATAAGGAACGGGTAAAACAAGACAGATTTTATTGAATATGATAAAAAGAACAAGTAATAGGAGAGAACTCTCTCCTCCAAGGGCTCAATCTACAAATGATAATCCAAAAATGAATCCACCCTTTCCCCTTACATCCTCCTATTTATTTAACTCATTAACCCCCTCACTAACTAATTAATATCCATAATGTCTTAACTAACTTGCCCTTCTCTTTGTATCTAACACTTAAGAAGCACTAACAATTGCTTTGTTGTCAAATGATCCTGAATTGCATTAATCATTTTTATATATATTATTTTCTATTCCTTTATGAGAGGTGATATACAGAGAGAATACTTTGAGAAATTAATATCACCCAACGAGAATTGCACATAGATGCTATCCCTAACATTTCACTAATTTATCTTCACAGAAAAATCGGTTACTTAATAGTTTAACCTTTATATTAACTTCTTTAAAATAATCACCACACTTTAGATTTTCATTCATTATTTTGATACTAACAGGTAGTTTATAGTTTTATACTGATTATGCTAATAAAGACAATATCATGAAAGAGAAAATGTGAAATTCATTATGCCTTAGAAGTTAGAAGTAACCTGTAGAACACAAATAATCCTTACTCTGAATATAATTTAATATTGCATTCTCATAAGCATTTCTCTGGACAGCTTATCCTAAGCTCAAGCAAAAATCATTAAAGGAATCATGCTAACTTTCTCTACTAACTTAAGCAAAAGTCAAGTCATCAAGTTGTCTTGGGGCATGATTAAAGCCTGTACCTTTGAATCCATATCTTACTGCTGATGCAGTTTCGTCAGCCACAGCAGCCCATACTTTGTGCTCCAACTCGCATGCTGCCCCTTCATCATTGCAAGCACGAAGAAGATCAACTTCCACTTGGTATGCCCGGCTTTTGGGAAGTATGTTAGAGTTTTGCTCACGAACTATTGGACACCTAGCTAGGAAATCCTTACATATTTCAACTCCAGAACCCTCCTTTTGAAGAATTTCTTCGCATAATTGTGACAAATTGCGCCCCAGCATTCCATAGCTGATGCACGCTTTCGCAATTCCTGCT